CAAAGTCACTTCTCCATCATAACCAGACTTGAGGCTGGCTTTGAGTGGCTGGGCCTAAGGGCCGAGTCAGTCTGCCTCTGGATCCAGAAGAGGGACCACTGGAGGAGCAGGCCCTGGTCCCTGCTGCACCTGCAGGGCCCTTCACTTTTAAAGTCCAAGACTGGGTATTGACCCTAGTGGGTGCACCCAGAGGTGCTCCCATCCACCCAAGGGCTCAGATGCCCAGAAGATGCTCTTTTCCAGAACAAATGGGCCCCAAGCCTGGGTGCGGCAGCAGGGGTGGGGGTGGGGGACAGCCTTCAGCTGCAGCTCATCCACACTGGGGTGGGATTTGGAGTGATGGGAAGGTTTTTAAGGGCCAGGGATGGATCTTTTCTAAATGTTATTACTTGTAAATAAAGTCTATTTTTCTCCCTTAAGTGCTGAGCTGTCTTGATCTGTGTGGGAAAAGGGAAACTTAGAGCACATCTTTGTCCCTGCCAAGTTTTCCCAACTAACTACCTGCCTTACCTCCAGTCCTTTCTCCTGGCCTTTCTAGGGCCATAGGATCTTACATTTCTCTTTTCAGGACCAGTGTCCCTGGTTTTGTCTTTAGATTCTGACAGTCCCTCTCTTCCCACACTCCCTCCTAGGATGAGCCAAGTCCTGTAAGTGGAACAATGGCTTAAATGACAGAGCAGGTGTTGTCATGCCTCCATTGAAAAACCATTTATGCATGCCCACTGTGGGCCCTGCCAGGTGTGACAAAGATGCAGCTGTGGATCAGAAGTAGCATTTATCCCATCCCTTCCCTGGGACAGTCCATTAGAGGGAGGCCAGAGCTGCAAGAGCATGCAGACCTCAGTGAAGAGGTGACGACTCAACCAGGCTTTGGAGTTCACCTGTCGCGATGACGAGGCAGGGGGGACCTGCTGGAGGGCGGGGCTTCTTGAACAGAAGGCATGACGGTCTTCAGCCCAGCCTGGGGAAGTGAAGGCAGACAAGGATCAGGCCCAAGCGTGGGGACATCTCTTGTCACCTTCCTGCCTGAGTCCTAAGTTCCACTTGGGGGCACGGTGGACACTAGCTGGCGGCCACTCTGGGCTGAGCCCACCCTTTCCTCCCCATACTGCTCCTCCTGTCCGTGGAAACCTTCCCTCAGGTTTCTCACCCAGAGCTGAGCTGGGATGACGTGACGCTGGGCGGTCTGCTCAGGATCAGCAAAGACACAGGAGAAGTTGGTGTTGCGCAGGGTGGGGCTCAGCTCCTCTAGCACCAGGGCCCTCCGTAGCTGGGTGCATGCACCCCGGTACTCCCTGCTGAAGCAGAGGACGGAAGGCCATGAGAGAGGACCGCAGAAGGCACCCCCCCAAACCTCCTGCTGGCCTCACCACTGTGCCCCTCACCTGCTGCTGCCCTCTCTCAGCCGACCTGGGAGGTGCTCGATGAAGGAGCCATTGCCCAGCCAGTAGAGGATGCTGAAGGGGAAGCGGCTGCAGGCGGCACAGGACAAGGTCAGCGTTCCATCTAGGGACAGGTGTGGCAGTTAGCTCTTGCGCAGAGCACACCCTCCCCTCAGGCCCCACAGTTCAGGAACCTGGAGTGCTGCTGTGAACACCCGCCAGGTGCGGAAGTCTGCCAATGGGGAAGTGTGGTTGTCTACCGGGAGGCCCAGGGCTGAACCAGAGGGATCTGGGGACCGGTCCTTGGTTCAGGTGAGGACTCCTGACCCTGTTTCTTCAGGATGACCTTTTCTAGTGCTCGGCTCTGGTGACTGGGAGCCCTGGCCAAGGAGGCAGCAGCAGGAGGCCACTGCTCCTCTGAGGTGGCCAGAGGGCAAGGGGGCTGGGCGGGGAGGGGGGGGGGACTGGGCCTCAGAGCCTATTGCAGTCAAGGCTCTGGGAGTCCTCTGATCATCCTTGTGTCTGAATTCTCTCCATCCCATTGGATAGGTAGCATCCCGGGAGCTGGGCCCTGCACCCACACTCATGCTCGGTGGGAGGGAACGTGCCAAATGCTCTGGGAAGCTGGCCTGGCTGGTGGGGCTACATGGCGGAAGGTGGGGGTAGGGGGCAGCTCAGGAGTCAACCCCACTCTTGGACCCTCTGTGCCCACAACCCACCCCGACCCCTGTGTCCTTTTGGGCACCCATCAGAATTGCTCCTTACTCAGTGGGACTTCCACTTCCGGCCAGGTCACCTCCAATGCTGGGCACTGCTTAGCTGTTGGGAGCCAGGAAGGGCAGGGGTCCTTTGTGATCCCAGTTGAGGCAGTGGCAGTGGCCTGAGGTATAGGTGTGGCTCCAGCCAGGTGACAGACCATGTGGGCACACAGAAGCAGGACCAGCAAAGGGCTGTGATCTGAGGGCAGGACAGTATGGAGGTCAACTGCTGTCTGCTGCCAGGAATGCTCAGCATCCTGGCCTGGATGCAACTCTGGCCCAGAGATTCCTGGGCTCTGCCCAGGGAATCGGAGGAGCAGAAGGGGGTCGTCCTCAGGCCCCACCCACATCTTGGCCCTTTTTGAAAGGAGCACAGGGAGACGTTGGACTGGAGCCAGAACCACAGCATCTGGACAGAGGCTGAAAGCCCTAACACAACAGCAGAATGGAGTTCCCCTGGGCGGTAAGGCTCAGGGCCGCCCGCACCGCTCCCTACTGTCCTCAGACCCCATCCCGCCTTCCCAGGCCAGCCTCAAGTCCCACCTGGTGTCCAGTTCTGTCTCATGGTCTTGACGGATGTGTCAGGAGCTGGCGTGCCTGGTTCTATTTATCTGTAACAACTTCCTCTCTGGGCTGGTGGGGGAGGAGAACATGAATAAACTACTTCTCTCTCAGTTTCTCAGTGGCTGGATCCCAGCCATTCCTATGGGCCTGTCCTTCCTGGGGGCTCCACAGCCCTGCCTTGGTCTGAACTCCAAATGGGCTGCCAGGCACTCCAGGCATCCCGCAGAGGCTGGGGCTCTTTCAGCACTTGGCAACAAAGCTGCAGACCGTCTAGTGACAGTCTTCCCCACCCTAGCTCTTAGTACCATTAACATTATGCTGATTATGAGTCCACCCTAACTCCTTCATCATAGGGATGGAGAAACGGACCCACAGAGGGGCCAGGAACTTACCCCGTCACAAAGAGAAGCAAAGCCCTCTTCGCTGGAGCTGGTTCTGGGAAGGGCAGGATTAGTGAAGTCCTTCTGGGAAAGCACTGTCCCTCTCCCCTCTATTTCACTTTCGCTTTTTTTGTAGCCAGGGAATCAGCAAGCACTGAGCCACTGACAGAGGTTACTAACACAAGCATGACACCAGCCTGTACTCGGCACCTCTTCTGAAGCCAAAATCCGTGCTGGCTTGGAATCTTCCTGCTAACTCCCAGGTTTCCCCATGGTATCAGACTGGGTCTTTAGTGCCCCCTCAGCTTCACCCTCCCAGGGGCACAGATGGGATGAACTCAGGAAAGAGTCTCTCACAGGTGGATTCTTCTGTCCCAGCCAAGGGTCAGGACTTCGGCGTCCACCTTTGCTCTTCAGAACCAGCCCTCGCGTCCATGTGAGCAGGCCTCATGTTTCTTCTTTCACATTCACACCTCTATTCAAGGGGTCAACTCTCCTAGGCACCGGGGACCCCAAGTTGGATCACTTTGCCCATTTCAGGCTCAATGTCACACCAGCCTGTCATCCTGGCCTTTCTCAGGCTCTCCACTTCCTCCAACCACCAACCTCCTCCATCCCCTTCTCCCCGCCCCCCCAAAGCCTTCTCGCTTCTCTCTCATCCTAGCCCCTTGGCCAGAACTACAGGTCTAGGTCCACTAGGAAGTGTAGATTTCCCCCTACCTGGCTCCCGAGAAGCCCTGAAGAGCTCTCTTTTTCAGAATCCCCCCTTCTTGAAGCTCCACTCAGTCCAGCTGTGTCCGGCCCCGCGTGAGCCATGCCTCGGGAACTGTGCTGCCCGCACTCTTCGGCCTTGTGTGCAGGAACCTCTCAGAGCCAGGCTGAGGACTTGGAACACGAGCTGGAGCGCTGGCCCTAAAATGAGGGGAGGGCACTTCCCGGGGAAGAGGAGGAGCAAGCAGCCTAGTGCCGGCTCCAGCAACAACAGAGCGATATAAATGCACCAGTCTGGTGGCTGACGGGACAAGCGGAGCTGGGGCTGTGGCAGGGCGAGGACTATGAGGCGCATGAGGCACCGGGGATGCAAAGCTGGAGGAGGCACTCATGATCGGGGTCGTGCCAGGGTCTGTGGAGGCAGAAAGACCAGGACAGGCGACCCAGTCCACACACAGATCAAGCATGAAGGACAAGAGCCAAGTGTCTGAGGTTTGTGGTCTCTGATCAGGGGGATGGGATGCTGGGGACAGAGCCAGGGAAGCCAGGAGATGGAGCTCGGTTTGGAGGATGCGTCACGAAACTCCTCCCTGGGAACGCCAGTATCTCCAGCTGTTAGGTCAGGAGGCAAGGCTGCTTGGGGCTTCTGAGACACAGTCTTTTGGGGATGGCATTGGGGGATGGGAGGGAGAGGAGACAGGACTCCACCTTGGAGTGGAACCAAGGTAAGAGTCGGGCTATGGGGAGGACAAGGGACCCAGACTTGCTGAAGTATGAAAAGAGAGCCTTGGACAGCCTGGTCTCGGCTTCTCACATGAGCCTGACGTGTAGGGGGGACAAGAGTGAAAGGATGATCCCTGGACCCTTCAACTGGTCCCCATTCCACTGAGGATGGGCCCACTGACATGACCAGTGGGGGACCAGGGGAAGCCACAGCCGGGTGAGAAAAGCCAAAGTCGAGGGTGGCCCAGGAGAAGGTGTGTTGGTAGCAGGCAGGGCACAGACTTCACCTCAGGTGGTGAGGAGAGAGTCACCCAGTGATGCTCCATAGCCCTTCGGCCACAGGACAGGAGTCTGGTATCCCACCATTCCCACAGGTAAGGGGCCAGCCACCCCTAGAATCCAGCTCTCAAATGGGAACAGCAAAAGGCACCAAAGGCAAGGCACTCCCAGGGACCCCAGGGAAGAATAAAGCAAGATGGATGTTCAGCTTTCCAACCCAGCTCATGGAGCTTTATTCAGAATGGAGTGACAAGATCCTGCTTGGCTCTTGCTGTGCTTGAAGGGCAGGCCCAGCTGGGCCACATTCCCTAGGAACCCAGTGCTGGAGGCCCATGTTTGCCTTCCCACTTCCTTCAAAACTCCTAGGGCCAGGGCTGGGGCCTACCTGGAACCTCTTTTTAGAACCCACACTTGCCTGGGCCTTGCCCTTTTCTCTTCCCACCCACCACCACCCCTGCTGCCAGGCCCAGGCAGGACCCACAAATGTGGAAGTTGACAGAGGGATATTCCCTGGGCTGGGAATCCCCTGGCAGCTTCAAGGGAACACTGATGACAGGGAGAAGTCCTATCTGTCATAGCTCTACTGCGGCACACGAACAGACACACACACACACACTCTCACGCACGCTTTCCAGGAAGGAAGTGATGTGGCAGAGTGGCTTTTGGCGCGTGTCACCACTTCCGGGCTAAAGGGTCAGATTGCACAAGACGCCTTCAATCACTGGCTGCCAATAATAGTCCCCATGGCCCAACTACACACAGACAGACTCTGTTCTTGGCTGGGGGCAGGTTACCCAAGCTGCTGCCCCCAAACAAATCCTCAGTGAACTGTGAGATCCCAGAGCTTCCCTCCCTGGAAAAGTCAGGACAAGGTTCCACTTGCCTAAACCAGTCTACGGGTCCTGGACAAGGGAAGACAGAATCGGACACAACATCGACTGCGGGGCCCAGACAGGGAGGAAGGAAGACACCTCCCCATCCCTCAGCGTGCATCTGTGGTACGAGGCAGAGCCCATGAGCTCTCCCACACGGAGTGAAGCAGGCTGGAGCCCCACAGAGGGAAGGAAGGGCTGGGGCGGGGGGGCGGGCAGGGAGGCTGAGGCTCTCAGCCAGAGATGAGAAGGCTCCTTTAAACCAAAAATGTGGCTCTGCTCCTGCCATGCTCAAGCAAGGAGGGCGAGGCCTGGAGGAGTTGGGGCAATTCCTATGCTTCACAATAAAAAAGGTTTTTAAATATATTCATCAAAATAGTTTTCTTTTAAAAAGCCCCCACTGCTGACAGCCCCACTGGCTGGCTCTCCATCATCTCCCTCCCCAGCCCGGGCACAGTTGGAGGGGTCCTGAGTGGCCCAAGGGTCCCTTTTGAGTCCTTCCCACCCAGGAAGTCTTGGAGGGCAGGGAGGAGAGTGCCCTGAGGTCCGTAGCGGGCGGATGCTCTTCTTCCTGGCTATTCCAGGCCCAGGATGTAGTTGATGCCTTGCACCAGGCCAATGATGACAGGCTGCCAGGCTACCAAGTACCGAAGCCAATCCAGCAGTTGCCCATACATGACGTGAGGCCTCTCCCAGCTGTCAGTGCGTTAAAGAGGCTATGTGTCAGAGCTGCTAAGGCTGGACTAGGGGATGGGTGAGAGGGTCTGCCCGCACTGTCAGCTGCCTCACAGAAACCAGCTTGCCTACAGGGAGAGGGAGCCCCCTCACCAGCCCCTCCATGTTAGAAAGGAGGGCTGAACCCAGAGACTGGGGGATGGAGGGGAGAGGGGACCACTGCAGAAGACAGGACAGACATGGGAGAAGGGTGGAGAGGTGAAACTAAGCTCTCGAAGACCAACATGCGGACAGAGCCTCCCATAACGCCTTCTCGAAGATGGGCCTGCTGGTGTGAGAGCACAGTCTGAGACTGCTGTGAATTCCTCTGTGTCAATGGCTGCAGGGACGTGGGCAGTGGGATAAGGTAACCTCACAGGTTCTTGTAGTGTCCCAAATGGAAGGTTTTCTAGGTCAAGGAAGGGGCTGAGTCTAGGGACCGAGGCAGAAGGGAACAGGGAGCAAGAGGCTAGTCACAGGGGATAACCCCTGGCAGAGGCTCTAAGGACTCCCCATGCACCACTAACACCAGGCCCTACTGAGGCCCAGCGGCCCCAGAGAGGAGTTCGCTTCCTTTCACTTTAGAGCTAAATGCTGGGCAAGACACTTAGAGAGGGAGTCTGGGAATCCAGCTCTGTGGAAAGCACAGATTAAACCTCATGACACTGTGGGGGAGCCTCTCCAAAAGCATTAGAAAAGAGCAGCCTGGCCCAATCCCTGGGAACTGCGGGGAAGCCCCAAGCCTAAGCCTCAGCCTCACCATGGAGTTACTTAACCATTCTTGAACTAGACTCTAGAAGAACCAAGCAAGGAACCTTAAGGGGACAGGCCAGAGCCTCTGGTTCGGGGGCTGTGGGAATGTGCTGGGAATGCAGTGGTCCCTGCCCAGCCCAGCTAGTGTCCAGGGGATAGGGAACCCTGGCACACAGGGCAGCCGGGAGAGGGGAGGGGAGAGAGCTGGGCCCCTAGATCCCAGGGGAAGCGAAGGGGGGACCAGAGCAGTGGCTGGGCAACTTCCAACAGACAGGTGGTAAGGAGGAAGAGGAAGGTGAGGGAGGGCAGAGTGGGGAAGGCCGGCGGCCCCGTGTTGAGAGGGGATGGAACAGGGCTCCCTCAGCCATCCCTGCACCTTGCAGGCTCTGCACAGGCACAGAGTCAGCCTCAGGCCCCACACGTCACAGGTCAGGCCCCACTCATTAGGTATGTAACCTTGAATAGGTTTTTCAACCTCGAAACCATTTCATTTGTAAAATGAGGATAATATTACCGACGTCATCAAGTTGCTGGAGATAATATAGGCCAAGCACTTAACACAGTGCCAGGCGCAGAGTAAGCAAACAGTAAACGGGCTGCTACTGCTACCAATTTACCCCTGAGGGATCCAGAACGATGATGAGAATCTGAGCTGTTAGAGTCCTGCCCCATGTGCCACCCCCAACTTCCCTCGATCACAAGTCAAATGGAACGGTGGATATGTACCAAGGTAGGGGGGACAAGGAAGGGTCCCAGGAGGACCCAAAGGCAGAGTGACACTGGCCAGGACTTTCTTCCCATTGCCCATTCCCAAACAAAGGATACGGGTTGCTGAACATCCTCTTGAGGTCTACCTTCTCTTTGCAGTAGGGACAAGTCTGCTTCTTTCCCACGATGCACCAGCCACGGATGCAGAACTCGTGGAATCTGAGCACCACTGGTCAAGGGAAATGGTGGGCAGCCAGGATGGCACTTGAGCCCCATACCCGTCATCAAGGTGCCCGTGCACTAGCTCTGGAGAAAGGTTCAAATCCTGGCTTCCCCTCTTTTTAGCTGTATAATCTTGGGCACACCCCTCTCCCTGACCCTGCTTCCTCACATGTGAAGTGAGGATAATGATCTCCATCTTACAGGGTTGTTATGGGGCAAAATGGAGATAATACATGGCACAGAACAGGAGCTGCCCACGCACATGATAAATACTGGAAATGTTATTCAGGAGGACTGGATTCTGAAACTGAGGGATCCGGCTAGAGGCTGCTCCTCCCAATAAGTGATCCAGCCTCGAGGCAGCTGGTGCAGCTTCGGGCTCCTTTCGGATCCAGTCAGGCTATAAACTCTGTTTACATGGGAGGGGCTCCCAGCTGCAGGAAAGAGGGAGAGAGACCGCAGTTTCCACTCCCGGGTGTCAGCTTCTCTGGCAGAGAACATCACCCAAATGTCTGCCCTCTTGTGACTCTCCTGCACTTCAAGGTCTAGACAGTATGCCAGGGTCATGGCCGCCCCCTCTCCTCCCTGACTGGAATGTGCATGTGGCAAGAGAGATGAGGCCCAAGGGGCTCCAGGCAGGATACACGTGATTGCAAGACAGCCTATATGTGTTCTCGATGATGCCCTCTTCACTGACATCCACAAAGATCTGCTGCCCACACACGGCACACACACTGTCCGAGAGGTGTTTGGTAGGCATGCCCGACTCGCTGTAGAACTGAGAGGGAAGAACAGGAGGAAAAGACAGGTAAGGTGTGAGAATCAGCCCAAGTAGGATGGTGCCACAGAGGCCTTAGGTCTTCTGAAGAGGAGGCAAAGAGGGAGGGGGAGGCCCTATAGCCAAAGAACATCTTTTATATGCCAAATCAACCTCATCTTTGCTGGGTGGATGGGAGGGAGAAAGGGACAGACCAAAGATGGGTTGGGAAGTCAGATCTAACAGAACCTGAGCACTCGGCTGGTCAGCATCAGGGACAAGGAGATCGGGAGGTAGAAGGACTCAGGGCTGGTGATCAGGAGCTATGTCAGATAAGCCACTCTGTGGCCAGACTACGCTTCCAGCGGAGATGGACAACGTCTCTTCTCTAAGATTCAAAACAGTCAGATACCCGGTGCAATGTGGGTTTGGTGACAAGGGCATTCCCGAACACTCATGGAAGCAGGGAAAGGGGTTCAATCCTTTTGGACAGCATCTGGCATGATGCCTCAAACTGCCACGCCCTCTAACTGTTGATTAATGACACTTCAAGTAATTAAAGAAGTAAAAATATCAAAAAAGCAAAAAAAAATAAAAATAAAAAAAGCTTCATGTATACAGATATTCATTTAAGCATTATTTATAATTTAAGAAGTAAAGAGTTTAGCAATTTCTCAAAAAGTTAAACAGAATTACCATATGACACAGCAATCCCATCCTTACATATATCTCCCCCTCCAGGAAAACAAAGACTAAACACACACTTGTAAGCCAATACTCACGGAAACATTATTCACAACATCCAAAAGGTGGAAACAACCCAAGTGTCCATCAAAAGAGAAGCAGACAAAACAAAACTACTCCCCCTGCTTGTGTTCCCTCTCTCGCTGTGTCTCTCTCTGTCATCTTTTATTTGACAGAGAGAGACACAGCGAGAGAGGGAACACAAGAAGGGGGAGTGGGAGAGGGAGGAGCAGGCTCCCCGCTGAGCAGAGAGCCCAATGCAGGGCTCGATCCCAGGACCCTGGGATCATGACCTGAGCTGAAGGCAGACGCCCAACGACTGAGCCACCCAGGCGCCCCTTGAAATGGTGATTTTTAAGTTATATAATAGAAAAACCCACAAAATAATAAAAAACAAGCAACGAAATGGAAATAACCATTCATGACCCAGAACAGGAGAACGCCGAAATAAACTTGGTACAAACTCAAGGGACTTAACAGCAGGGAGGCAACTGAAGCCTGAGATATAACAGTAAGTGTCAAAAAGCAGGGTACAAAACTGGAGGCACAACATGATCGGTACCATATGTAAAGACAAGCCCAAATCTATGCAAAGAGAAAAAGATCAGAAGGAAATAGGTCAGAATGCTCATGCCAGGGATGTTTTGGTAGTAGGATCATAGGTGATGTTTTTCTTTTGCCTACTTTTCTGTACTCAAATTTTCCTTAATGAATATATATTACTTTTAGATTAAAAATTATTACCACAGTTAATTACAACAAATAACCAACTCCATGCTCCAAAAAGAAATTCCAAGTTTTGCATAATTTCCTTGTGGTTTATTGTTACATAACTAAATAGCATCTTCCCCCTACCCCAAGGAGAAAAGACTGGAAATTTATTTGTTGACATTTTCTAAGACCTATTTTTTCTTTCCTTTGCCTTATACACATAATATAGAATATACATCTTAACTACTTCTACATGTATAGTTCATTAGTGCTCAGTATAGTCACACTGTTGTGCAACTAATCTCCAGAACTTTTAAACATTCTGCGAGACTCTATAATGGATTGTGAAAAAGCCTTCTGCATTTGTTACTACAATCTCATCTGGACCTGTCAGGTAGATATACCGCCTCGAGACTTTTTGCATTTCCTTAAACTTGAGTTTGCTGTCTTTCTTCTTCTGTTTCCAAACACCTGTCTTCTGAAAAAGCCAAAGCCCTGAGGCTGGGTGAGAGAGGAGAGGGCACCCAGGTGCTGGGACAGGGAGTATGAGAGGGTGACACCAGGTGCCTGCCAGAACTTCCGCTCAACATGGAGGCTTCCCTTACTCCAAGGTGCCCTTCTGAGGAACAGCCTCTCAGCCATCAGAACCGCTACCGGATTCCAAGAGTCCTCAAGGGTAGAAGGCAGAGATGCCACACTGCCCCAAGAATCCATGAATACAGAGCTTCCTGCCTTCATATGCACCACCTCACTTTCTTGTAAACCCATCTGAGATAGCTCAAGGTGAGCTCGAGTATTACCACAGAACACCAGAGCAGCCCTAACACTGGGAAACCAAAGCCCAGAAGAGGAAAGAGGTAAAGGACCCAAACCCAGACCCTCTGACCCCTACCCAAAATCTATCCAAGGTGTCCCATAACATCTGCTGAATGTTAGCTGTAGAACCATCAGCTACTTAGCTTGCTGAGAGCCAGTTACGTGAACGGTTCCGATTTATTTATCGAGAGTACAAAAGGCAGTGGAAAAGGATAAGCTAAATCAGGGGGCAGGGCCAAACCTGTGGGACTTCATTAACTATGCAACTTTCAAAAGCTGGAATCTCAGGATGTTAGTATTGGGGGGGGGGGAACCTCTGAGAAACACTTCCCCAGAGCTTGACAGGCGTATGGCTCTGAAAGGTGTTCTGGCTTAGAATTTCTAAGCGTATCAACTTGTCAGAGAGACAAGAGACCAAGAGGTCTGGGTCCAGCTCGGCACTGAATCCTCCTTGTATAATCATGTAGCACAGAAACATGGCCACTCACTCTGGCCCACAGCATTGGCAATAAAAGAAATAGAAACGTTCTGACTCAGGAGATGTGTTAGAGCTGAGGAAGAGCTTAACCTCAAATCACCCCAGAGTTCTCCCCACAGGACACAGAGGCAAAGGATGCAGGATGAAAGGGAACCTGGATGAGGTGAAGACAGGAGGAGGGATGTCCAGGAAAGCGTCTGTTAGGCTCCTAGTTTCTTGAGTTCTCCCCACAACACTAATGTGGCACTAGGCAGGCAGGGTCAAATCCCACAATGTTTCAACAAAGCCACCAGGTAAGCTGTCAAACCAGGAAGGCCCAGCACACCCCTCGCAGAAATCACACAGGAGGAGATTGTATCAGGAGGCACTGAGGCTGAGCTGCGTAAGATCCAGGGAGGCAGGTTTCAGTTTAACCTCAAGAACAGGATCCCTCCGTAGAATAAGCTCAAGGGGGACCTACGATTTATCAGGATTAGACAGACCTAACTGCAGTCTTCTGTCACTTACTATCTTTTTTTTTTTTT